AAGCAAAAAATGTCATAGTGGTGTTAAATGGACACTTCTGATGAAGCCTCAGCCTCTTGGAAAATAAACACTACATGAAATTGTGCAGGATCCACAATCTCTGTTTCTGACCCTTAGGAACACCCATGAAAAAAAGGATCCTTTAAGGATAGGCATCAGTGGACATAATGAGCTAGTCAAATTAGAAGCCTCAGAAATGATAGAGTACTTCTATATGCCTATCAGTTATGTGGCTGTGGAAAGAAAGCAACTCTAAATGGTCAGGAGAAAACAGCCTTTGCAAAAATGACTAATACTCCCCCTTCCACTCTGTAGCTAAGGCCTATCATCCACATGGATTCAGTTACCCTAATAGAAGTCATTCTTGTCTTACCTAAGCAAACAGAACACATGTGGTATAAGCCCCCTGCAGTACAATTAAATTGAGGTATCTGATGGGGAGGCTAAGAATTTGACCATTCTTTTGTTAGTTTTGACTGCTCCCAGGTATTTGTTGGTATAGCTGCTCTGTTTCATTAGTTTGTATTTCTTAAGACAGACTATTGCTATGTAGCCTCACCATCCTCCTGCCTGAGTCACCCTAGTACTGTGATAACAGGTATATGCAACCACAACCATCTCTGCTTTAAACCTCACCTCTCTCCCTTCTTCATCTTCTCATACCTAGACAAGCTAATGAGAAACCTGATGATACCCCCTTTTGATGTTTTGACTCACTGAACAATCAATCAAAATTAGATTAAGTATTTCACATTTATACAATGGCTTTAAGAAATAGGAGTCCATACGTAACTTCCTTCACAATTATATAATTAATATTCCCTTGTTTATATAAAAATAGGACCTTTAAGGATTGAAACCATTATACAAGACCTATTTAGGCAAGGAAGTGATTGTTTCAGCCATTTTTTCCATTCAACTGCCCAATTTAGCTAGCTCTTAAACTTGGAATGAATGAATGAATGAATGAATGAATGAATTAGTCTTCTTGGTTATAACAGTCTTAATGCCATGGTCTCACCCATTAATAATCCTGGGAGTAATATTATAATATGTTAATTAATGGATCAATCCAATTGTCAGTTAATACAAATTTGGTCACTGCATGCTGTTGAATGCATCAACAACTTTTTGTCCACATTTTTTCTTTTTTTCCAAAGGGAGGTACCCAGATAGTAGCTCACCAGCCTTTCTATCTTAAGCAACCTTTGTAGGCAAGACCTAATTGTATCTGATTTTCTCCAGGAGCATAGGCCTAACATCATATCAATAGCACCCTCCTTTTAACTGATCCTGTAAAAAAATATTTGGGACATACATTCACCCCTCAATGGTGGATTGGTTCCAGGATATCTGCCTCTTCCCTTGAGGTATCAAAATTCTCACATGCTCAAATCCCTTATATAAAATCATATGCTATCTGCATATAATCTATATACATCATCTTAATTTTAAATCATCTCTAAATGCCATGTAAAATAGTTGTTATGTGTGCCATTTAGGGAATCATGACAAGAAAAAATCCTTGTACATGTTTGGTACAGGTGCAGTTTTTAAAAATACTTTTGATCCACTGTTGCAAAAACCATGGAAACAACACCTACAGATATGAGCGACAGACTATACAAATACTCAGAAAGATGGGTCATAAGAAAAGGAGGGGCCCTTGCTGCACATGTAACACAATACCTTAAGTTTCTTAATCATTTGGTAAACTGAGAGCTGCTTTGGTCCCTGATGGCCATTTGTTGTCTACTGTCTTCTGGCTAAGACAAAAAACTCAGTTCTTTGTAGATTCTGTGCTGGATGAAGTCACCCATTTCCCAAATTCATTGTCTACCTAGAGACCCCTTCAGGTTCAACTGAATGAAGGAAAATAGGAGTTGGGGCATATTATGAACACACACACACACACACACACACACACACACACACGCACACGCACACGCACACGCACACGCACACACTCCCACAAGAACTTGTCATCACTGAAACAGGATGTCCCTGAAAAATAAAGACTAACCTAAGGATCAGAACAGTTACATCTTAAACTGTAGCTAATGCAGTGTGTGTCCTAATTATAAATCAAGGCTGAATCAAGACACTCCTTTTTGTTTTCAGAGTTTCAGGCATTGCTGAAGTCAAGGAATTCCTTTTCCTTTGTCTGAATATACAATACAGAGCTCTAGAACAAGACTTTAAATTTTGTAATGATAATTGAATGCACTCTCCCTCTGAACTGCAACCCTCAGCCATACAAATCACCTGACGAAACTTTCACTAGCCTAACAGATCTCTAATCCCAAGTTTAATTAAGGAAGCATGGTACTGTTCAAATATTTTACTTACCAAGATCAAGGATAAATTATAATAAAATCTTTTACATGCTTGACTGCTGGCAGCATTTAAACCATGTCTTTTCTGCTTCATGCTTACAAGTTAAGGAAAAAAAAACCCAAAGCACTCTTTCCTTTGATGGCCAACAGAGTTCCACACCATGCAAACTGCAACCTGGGAACTGGAACCCTTACTCTAGTCCTACACCACAAGCCCAATACAAACTCCAAGTGTCTCCTTCCCTTCTCTAGAAATTTCCGGCCAGCTTTAAAGGTTTCTGAGTATCCGCACCCAACCCACCCCCACTCCATTCCTCACCACCAAAAAAAGGCCTCTTTGTGTAAGTAATGAACCTTTAAATGCCTGGTTGATCTGGATGTGACATCATCAGCCTTTTGATTGGAAGCAAATTTTGTATTGGAATTCCTTCTGTATCTTCAAGGCGGCCCCAACAGGTGACCTATCTTCGTCACTGCAACTAATCTGAGTGTTAAACTTCTAGTGACCATCCCAGGATAGAAAATGGAAAGCTGTAAGTGACTCCCTTGGAAGGCTGTCATGAACCGGTTTCTCAGCTAAGTTTCTGATGGGACCTCAGAGCTACACAATGTAAAACCACTCTGCTGTGGCTTCTGTGCAACAAACTATCCCACAATTTCTATTACAACCATCATCCCATTGTTCTTTGGATCTCAGGATATGTAAGACAGGAACCAAGGAAGTTGTGAACCCTGTGACTCCTTCTTTGTAGTGTTAGTAAGTCCTGAACTGATTACATCTAAAAGTGGCTTCTGCATCCAATCAGTCAGGCCTTGGCTTTGTATGTGGGAGCTTGTTACTACATATTCTGATTACTATGTCACTTATTATAAACTAAACTAATATAACTAGCATACTTGTGTCTACACAGAAGTTGTTATGCTGACTCAATACTGAGGGTATTTAGTAAGTACCATGTCCTTCAGTCGTTTGTATCTGGGAAGCCTTCACTGCGTTATCTTATGTAGCTCAGTGGGGCCAATTTTGCACGTAATGAAAAATCACATAATGTATGTTATAAAGCTAAGAAGTTAGGAAAATATATTAGAAATGGGAAATTCTGAGAAAATAAAACCACAATTTATTAAAATATTCTCCTGAATAAAGAAAAATTTGATCCAAGATCATGATGTCCTTATGGTGTTTCAGCTTTCTGATTTTATAGAAAGCAGATCTCCAATAAAGTTACAATGTTGTTTTGTACTGTTCATTTGGGGCTTTTTTTTTGACTGGTATTAGCTGAGACAATCATTAATATCATAATAACATAATAATATCATAATAACAGGCACCATGAGTACCGTGTTCCAGACTCTGGGAATAAGAGGAAACTCAGAGATTCAGAGCCAGGAGACCTTACAGTTCAATTGAATAAGGTTAGTGTGAGGGGGATAAAGCTGACCCAACAGAGCAATGGAGTACTGGGAATATGCTGGTATGCTGTACTCAAAGAAATAGAATTTCTCAGAAGCAATGGTTTGCAAAGGTAGGGACTCTAAATACCTGCTGCATTTTACAGACCGGAAAACTGAAGACTAGAGAGGAAAAGTGACTTGGCAGGGGCCATTACAGTGTCTGGTCCCATTAGCTTGGAGGCACAGCCTCTCGGACTCCAAAGCACTATTTTACCACCACTTCAAGTTCCCCCTTGGGTCTGCTTGCCTCCACATTTAAAATCTCCTCAAATCAGTTGACCCAAATTAGGAAACAACTTCCAGGGGAAGAGGGGCATTTTCTAAGGAAGATCTCGATGCCTTTTCACCAGGCGCCCTTGGAACTGAAGCACTAACCAGCTCGAGTGAGAAAGGCTTCCCTGCTCTCCAGACACAGTTGATTCAAGGCAACTGCTTGCCCTTGGGATTAGAAACACTTAACTATCAGAACAAAAGCTGCAGCTTCACATTTCTTTATCCCTAGGAGGGAACTCATCATCCTGCGCAGGACCTACAGTGCTGTTTGAACTGCCTTCCTGTTCCTTAACCCACAAATGTCAGGACTGAACCTACCCTGTTAATAAAAGCACATCTTTAGTTATCCTGACCTATGTCTTCATTTCCGCAGCCCGTGATCTCCTGTGGTCAGGAATCCTAACTGCTTATCTACTATTTTTTTTAACCTGTCTTCAACTAGATTATTAGACACCATGTGTAGCACACACGTCTACAATTAATGGGTTTTGTTCCCCCAAGAAACTATTAAAATGGCATTATATGGATTTTTATAAAATAATCCCTTAGAGACCTTGTCCCTTGATGTCACACTGGTATGAACTAGAATGCAGATGGTTTTCAAAACCTCTCTTTGGCATAGTAGAACCAACCACCATTTTCCAATAGTTGTAAATAAAACCACGATTTATTAAGATATTCTCCCAAATAAAGAAAAATGTGATCCAGCAGTTGTAAATAATGATTTAACTGTTCCTATTGCAGTAGGACAAAGTAAAAGAAAGAGTCCATTCCAGGGCACGTCTCCTTTTATTTCTATGAATCTGACATCTTATACCAGAAGTAGCATCCTGGAGCCAACATTGAAAAGTCAATCTATAAACTTTTCCCTCCTCACTTTTTTCTCTCTGCCTTATATACTAGACTTAATTAGAAGAACTCCAACATTTCCAGTGATTTTTGATTAACTTTTTTTATTATGGAAAATGTCAAACATACAAAAGCAGAGATGAACATATATAATGAACATCATTTAATCATCATTCAGCTTCAACCATCTTGAAGGCCAATCTTGTTTGAGTATGTCAAGTGTGTTTAATATCTAGATACATTTTGAAGCAAATCCCAGACATTATATCATTTCAACTGTAAATATATGAATGCAGATAAGAATTATTTTCTCCAATATAACAACAGTATTATAATAATGAACGTGAAAATATCTAGCCAATGCTCAAAATATTCTAGTTGTCTGATAAACTCATTCATCTTACAGTTTGATCAAATCAGGATCCAAATAAGATCCATGCAAGTATTGATCACTCTCTGAAGCCTTTTTTCAATGCACAGGTTTAACCACCACCCTTTCCTTTCATCCTTGTGACTTATATACTGAAGAAACTGGATCATCTGTCCTGTGTTTTCTTGAAGTCAGGATTCTATGAATCTCATCTGTTTGATATACAGTAAACTGTTTCTCTGTCTCCTGAAGTTTCTACAGAGGAGAAATTATGTCTAGAGGCACAGTTAAATTTAGGTTCAAAATTTTGGCAAATGTAGGAGGTACATAATGTCTGGGATAACACAGACATATGAATATGAATCTTTGCTACTATCTTACAGCTGCCTTGAAATAGTTGGGAGACATCTGATATACAAAAGCCACATATATGCTAGAGAGATTAGAAGAGGGATGTTTTACCATTCGTTATCATTACAAAATATTAAACAAATATTCAGTGACGCCTACCATATATCAAGTAATGTATGCTAGATATAAAAAGACTAAGAAAGCAAGTTCTTTGCATTCAAGGTCATATCTGATGGGGAAATACAGACAAAAGCACAAAAAGGCCACAGGTGCCAAATAGACTTCTGTACAGATACAGTGGTAGTGCAACAACCTGAAGTCTAGCCATTGTTAATAACAGGAAAGCAGCGTCCAAAAGCATAGGGTGAGCTGTGTCCTTGGGGATGTCAAAGAGCTCACCTGTGCTTCACAATTCCATTCATCATTGGGGTCACATACTTGATTCTTTCAAAGTAAATCTGAACAACATTTATTCCATTCACCTAAAAAAAGATAATCTGATTAATAAGGTTTTACTGGTTTGTCCATTCCTGTAGAGTCTAGACAACAAATATTTACTGAGGATTTAGTATGGTTCATCAACCCTTTCTACCGGAAAAGCCTGCAGTGAATTATCCAATGTGGTTCCACTGTAAGCACAGGTGAGAGCCTAAAGAAATAAATTCTCCCAGGTATGTTATGAAGCTTAAAAAAGAAAATCAGGAATTCACTGGAAGTAGACATTTCTACTGTGTGAGTCAATGACAAATGTCTCCGAATTTTAGCCCGTTTTGAGGCCCTGGGGTTATGCAGGATTCAGGTTGGGTCCTAGTCCTCAGAGTTCATATTCTATTAGGAAAACAGTTAGTTAGGAACATAACTACAATAGGTGTTTCCACAAAAAGATCTCCGAGGGAAAAAAAAAGCTTGGCTAGCTGTTAGTATTAAATACGTTCTGAGCAGCTTCACCTCCTTTCCCAGTTATCAATGTTCCTTTGCAAAAAGGAGCCCCGTGTAAAGGAGAGTAAGGAAAGAAGCAACTCCAGCTCCAGAGCCTGTTAAACCATGTGTCCCATGCTGATATCTTACAAGCTGTCTGTTCCTGTTCTCACAAACTTTCACTTTTACTGATACTTCTAAATAATGCTTTATAACAGTTCTTTCCAGTGGAACCATACCAAGAAACTACATATAGCCATGTTTCAGGCCTTCTTGCAAAAAAAAAAAAAAAAAAAAAAAAAAAAAAAAAAAAAAAAAACCCAAACCAAACCAAACAACAACAACAACAAAAAAAAACCCAAAACGATCTGATCCACAAAACAGGTTTCTAATACATCGTATACCTGCATCAAACATATCAAAATTCCTTTGACTTCAGCATGACTTCAAGCTTTTTAAAGGATAAGCATAGGCACTTGTCCAGTGGAGGGAAAAACAGCCCTTTAAGACAACATGCTGAAAACAAACTTCTGTTATCTTGGGTAAACATCTTACTATCTTTCAGCAGTACACTGGATTGGGGGGCAATGGGATGAACTGAAAAATTCAGCCTCACTGCACTCAACATGTAAAATGCATAGGCACTAAGTAACCCCTCCAAGGAGAAAATCACACCTGTGTGTCAAACTTTTGGAAAATATAAGATCCTGACAAGATTTGCTTTATTCCTGTGTCAGCTGTTTTATCTGAATTTCCTGGAATTATTCTATTAAAAGGCAAGATCATTTGGAGGCTTTCATTTATCTCTTTTCTCAAATGAACCCCAGAGAGGATATTTAACTATATAAATTTGAATTTAAAGAGTGATAACTGGTTTTTGCTTGCAATATGGAAATGGGAAGTACTGGAAAGTTGGAAATTGCATGAACAGTCTCTGTAGTTCCCAAAGAAAATCTCATTCAACTGCACTGCTCAATCCAAATGCTTTTAAATGAAACAAAGTATGATTATAGAACAAAACTGAAATTTGCTTAACTCAAGTCTGCTTAAATTAGTCAAATGGAGTTCAACTGCCAAATATAATACTGTGCATTATTATCTCTAGAATATTACATTGTAGTAAAACCCCCAACATATTCATGGCGTTTTTAGATGAGAGGTATTTTTATGTATACAATACAGAAATAAAGCAATAATCTGTAGGATTGGTGTATAATCTTTAAGACTGAGGTTACTGGGAATATCTATTCAGTGATTTAGATTACCCAGTAATTAGTGAAAACCATATTCAATAATTCAGCATTATTTAGGATATCAAATTACATGCTTGGTTTATAAAAGCTATAATTTTGGTAAGCAGGTTTGTACTCATTTCTTTGACAGTATCTATTTTGTTTACTACACATATATTACTTAAAAGGATTTATGTAACAGAGAACCATGGGGGGGAGGATGATATTCAATTCTATGTGTACCAAATTTTGGAAAGGTAACCTATAAAATCAAACGCATAAATTAGTGTCACCATCCATGTATATTTAATACAGGTTTGTAGAATACATTTAGAACGTTGGTAGATATATACCATCCAGTCATATTCACCGTGAAGCCTGCGAATAAGAAAACAAGGGGGAAAAAACATAAAAAGATGCCCCACCACCACCCGCCAGCTGGTAGGACTCTAAAGGCCTCCACTAAGAAACAAACCACAAGCCTGACATCAAAAGCGCGCACGCACACTTACGCACAAACACATGTCAAGGGTGTTTAAAGGAAAAAACACCACCCAAACAAAACATCACAGGGCAGACAGACACGCACGCGCGTTCATATGCGCGCGCGCGAACACACACACACACAAACACACACACACACACACACACACACACACACACACACACACAGACAAGCACACCCTCTATGAAGAGCAGGGCAAGCAGTTAAGGCACCTTTCACGAAATCCCATGCAGCTCTGGCTGACCGCAAGATTTTTACAGTGTCACCAAGAAGCGATTAGAAAAGCATGTGAAAAAACGTGCAAATTGTCTGCAAACAGAGCCTGGCAACAGAGACAGTTTGCAAGCGTGATTCAGAGGTCTGCCTGCCAAGGAAACAAAAGAAGCCTCCCTCCTGCCCGTGCGGGCGCACAGGGCAGGAGAGGTGCTCTCCTGGCAGGCAGGCAGGCAGGCAGGAGGCAAGTGCGGGGAGGCGACAGGCGGGAGTCCGGGCGGGCGGGAGCGGTACATACTAGGGCTCGCTCTCCGGCAGGGACGGGGCGGCCGAGTTTCCATTAGTCGGGGAGCCGCCCAGCTTCAGTTTCTCCAGGTACTCGGCATGCACGGGCTTGTGGCACTGGAGGACCTTGATGGCATCTTCGATCTTGAACCACTCTCGCTTCCTGCCGATGCTGACCGAGTCTTCCCAATCCTCCAGCAGCTCGGTGACGGTGAGCACGAACACGTAGGTCCGGTGCTTGCGGTCCTGGTTCTGCTCGAAGACACCAAGCAGCCGGCCCAACTTCCCCTTGACTCCCGCCTCCTCGTACACCTCGCGCACCGCCGCGCCGTCCGGCTCCTCCTCGGGCTCCATGCCCCCGCCGGGCACGATCCAGCGGTCGGGGTAGCGGCTGCTGCTCACCAGGAGCACCTCGTCTTCGCGCTCGCTGCGGAAGCACAGGCACGCGGCGCGCTTCTTGAAGCCCTCGGGGTCGTAGGTCCGCGTCTGGTTCGGCTTGCACTTCATCCTCGCCCGCTGCTGCTGCTGCCGCCGCCGCCGCCGCCGCCGACTGTGTGTGGTCGCTTGCAGATGCCGAGCGGGCCGCCGCCGCGCAGCCGAGGAGGAGCTGCTGCGGGCAGGGAGAGCGAGGGCTGCAGAAGAGAAGAGCAGAGCGGAGTCTGAGCCGAGCCCGAGCCCGGGGAGACTAGGCGGGGGCGGGCGCGGGGGCGGGGGCGAGCCGGCGCGTCAGTGA